TAAAAGATAACAATATATGAGATGAATTGTGTTAAAATATTGCTTCAAACCGCAAACTAATTGGTCTCATAATTGGTTCCTTACAACTAAATTGCAATGTCCAGTTCTTCCATCGAAATGTCAATTCCATATATGTTTGTCATTGTTTTTGCAATCTAAAACAATATTTCTCTAAATAAATAAATAAAAGAATAGTGTCACATAAATAAATAAAAATTAAAACTTTTCTTTACAAACTGATGTTAGTTTATTGAGTTACATTTCACTTTTTAAATTTTTTATGAATGTCATCTCAATTTGTTATACATATATCCAAAAATTTTCATCAAAAAATTCACTACCACAACTAATAATCAAGTATTGAAATTCAACCCGTCTTTTCATCTATAATCTTATAAAGAAATAAAAAAAAAAAAAAACTATTATTCGTATATAAAGCTCCATTACATAAATGCAAGAAAAAAAGGAAAAAAAAAAAAAACACAACTTGAATTAAAATTTTGTCTTTCCCACCTTGAAAGTATTGCTTTGTGTAAGTCTCTCAACCCCTTAGAGCATCTCCAATGGTTTACCAGAATTTTCATCAAATTTGAGTAAAAAAAGGACAAGTTCCTCTATCTGATATCGCCTGTTCCAACGGAAGAATTTGAATTTTCATCAAACCACCGGTCGACTAGGCAAACCGGTCAATGCAAAAAATAAAAAAACAACAGTATAAGCAGAGAAGAGATGGTGGATGAATTCATGGTGTGTGTTGATAGGCTAATAGCATCAACATGCTTTGAGTCTGTCAATAAGAGAGAGACTCTTGAGAGGTGCTAGTGGTGGTGGTGGTGAAGTAGTGATTGATAATGATTTGTTGTCTTCTGTTAATATGCGTGGAGTGGTCTTTGTTAAGAACAGCAATGGTGGAGGTGTGGGTTGTTCATAAAAGGTCGTGAGAGAGTGTAGGATTTGTCAGGGTCAGGAAGAAGATGAAGAGCATTAGATGGAGGCTTCTTGTGCCTGCAATGGCACTCTCAGGGTTCATTCACTTTTTTTCTAGGTTTTCTCTCCTTTTTTTCCTTCTCTTTTCTTAAATTTCACTTTTTTGCTTCACATGTCTGTCTTGGGTTTACCCCATTTCTATTAGCTTCCCCCCTCCCAACAAGAACCCATCAATCATGCCATCAGGTGCAAAGAAGAGAAAAAGTGCCAAGAAGAAATAGCAAAAGGAGGAGGCCAACAACAACAAAAACAACTCAGTAATTCACTTTTTTGGGAAGAGAATTTGGGAAAATGAAAACAAATTATGGGATTGAAGCAGACTTGGTTCACTATGTTTTTATGGTGGACTTGTTGAGTAGATATGGACATCTCAAGGAAAGCAGAGCAATTAATTGTTGGTGGTCGACCATAGGGGATTGACCTCTTAGTGTAAAATTTTCACAAAATTTTGTTTGAGGTGGTCATCCGGGGCTGGTTGTCCAGTGGTCCACACTCAACGGCTATACAAAGTAAATTGCTGAAAGGTGCAAGCGATCCTTAGTTTGGTGAAACGTTTGATATTTTCTCAATTTAATACCATTTTGGTGAAACTCTTGGAGCACAAAAAGTACCTCTTTTTCACCAAATTTAAATTTGATGATGAATTTGGTGAACGGTTGGAGATGGTCTTATACACGACTCCTATCTTACTTTTGTAGCTTCTCTGTGTGACTATTATTTTTCTAAACAACATATTAAAAACATTATACAAATTCAACCTTTGTTAAGAGAACAATAAATGTATATCATAATATTAACAAATAAAGGCATCCAAATAAATAAATGAATTGTGTCAATATTTACTTGACTAAATTGGTTTATAACATCAACACTTTGTAACATAGTTGTAAATGGAATATTTGCAAAGTTCATATCCTCGCATGGAAATAGTTCATACTTAAAATTAATTATGATCATAATTTTAATTGTAAATAGTAGATATTTTAATTTTGTGAATCAATATAAATATTCAATACCTGTGCATGCATGGTCCATGGTGGGTAAGATTGATCATCTATGTTGGCATCTGCTGGTCTTACCATAAGGGTACTCATTTGGTGGTTGGAAGATTGTTGTATCATATGTGATACCAAGTGAGGCATGTGATGGTCCTTGCTTTACTTGTTTTGATTTTCCTGAGTATGTGCATAAATCACAAATAACTTACAACATAAGAACTTTATTAAAAAATAATTATCACGGATGAGAATGTAGCATTTATTGAGCAAGCAAATAGTTTCTCACGCATGAATCCAAAAAAAAAAAAAAAAAAAAGTTTCTCACGGGAAGTTGATGCATCCTTCGACGATTTTTCAAAATGCGCTTTAAGTCTAGTGTTTTGTACACCTTTCAATCTCGCATGTGGGGGATCCAACACTGACATGTTAGTGGTATCACATCGTATGGCTTGATCTTCTTCAACATGCACAACTGTACCCAATTTCAACGTTGCAAACTCTGTTTTAATTTTTTTCATCAAATTGTACAAGTATCTTTTGGCAAATGTTCTTAAGGCTATCATTCCTTTGACTTCTGTATATAGTTGTATTAGCTGCACGTATCATACTATTACGCCATATGATCTTAGCCTCTTTACCATTCGCAATGGAATTGGTACCTTGTTCATAAGCCATCATCCCTTTCTTAGCATCTTTGGTCCAACGTTTCAAAATATATTGGCTTGGAATTGCAGTGAAATTTTTTATACTAAAAATCCTCAATGCATGATAGCAAAGAACTCCTAATGATTCAAACTTCTTACAAGAACAAGAAATGTTGTTAGTGAAATGATCAAAGTGAACAATGCGTACCCTTTCACTATTTTCTTCTTTCAACTCGAAGACATCAACTGTATCTCGACAATCAACTTGCTTCTACACCATTACAAGACTATTGAGAAATTCATTTTCAAATAATTTAAATATCTTACAGGTGTAAACCTGAGTTGCATGACCCAAAATACCACTTTTTATTTATTTATTTTTATTTTTTTACTGTTTTTTGTGAGGCACCTTGCTTGCATAAAAAATCTTCATCCAACTCTGAAGAACGCATATCTGCCACTAAATTGTCATATTCAATAGCAAACTTAGTGAGGCTAGTTGTTTTAGCTGCTATGTTATTCAAAACATTATTTGTACCTTCACTCCTTGAGGAAACTTTAAATTCAACGGTGAAATTATCCTTAGTGAATGCAGTTCTCCACTTGTGTCAAATCTTGTACATCATATTAAGCTACCGATGACTCTCCAAACTAAACTTTTGTATCATTTTATTCCAAGTTTGTTGAAATTCTAGTGCAGAATCACAATATTTTTGGCACTTTGTTGAAAATGTACTTGAACTTTGTGTTAGTATTTAACTCCCCCAAATGAGAAGGAGCATTTTTTGAAATATGCCACAAACATAGTCAACGATGTGTATTTGGAAATACCGCCTCAATAGGCATTAGACATGGCTTGATCTTGGTCAGTAAAAATTGTAATCGGAGACCGATTCCCCATTGATTCTAAAAATGATTTAAACAACCATATAAATGAATAAGTGGTTTCACCTAAAAGGAAAGCACAATCGAACATCACATTTTGCCAATGGTGGTCAACACCAACAAATAGAGTACAAATCAAATTATACTTATTGGTGCAATAGGTGGTATCGAAAACAACCACATCTCCAAAACAATCATAATCAACCCTTGATCTACCATCTCTCAAAAAAAAAAATAGTCATGCGATTTTCTTGATCTACTTGAACTGGGAAAAAGAACATGAGATCTTCTGTATGTTTTTGCTTAAAATGATTCAATAGGCTTTAAGCATCTCTAGCACTAATCATTGTCATCTTTTGCTTGTTCACATAATTATAACAATTTCTTTTGGTAAAACCCACATTCTCACTACCTCCAACTTCTTCTGTTAGATATGAATAAGCATTCTTTGTGTTTATACCCGCGTTTACCATAGAATCAATCACACATGCCTTCGATTTTGAAATGCGACGAGCAAATCTTAGCAAATGTCACTCTGATTGTAATGCAAGTTCATGATTATGTTTAGGATTGAAGGCAGTAACCTTTCAAATTTCATCTTCAACAGTAAAATGAATAAATGCTTTGCAACTAGTTCTAGTTTCTAGCCTATTCAATTTTTTCTCTTCACAAGGGTCTTCATCTACATTAAAACCCTCTTTAGAACATAAAAATTCACGTTGCCTTATGTTCTTTGATCCACTATAATATCTTGGCTTTCCTTTCTGAATACTAAAACCCATTCGTAATGCATAATTATTGTATAAAGCATATGCTTCCTCTTCACTACATACCACCTTATTTAACAAATTGTCATCACTATTTTCTTGCCTTGCAACAAACATGTAGTCACGTTCACTTCTTTCAGCATCACTAGAAGTGTTAATTTCTGCAATAATTTTTGTATTAAATGTTAGAAACTACAATCGTATTTTTATAACTATAAAAAATGTTAAGAACTAGCGTAGTATGATATGCCTTATTTAAGGCCTAAATCATGAGCAATTTTTTCATGTTTGGGAGAGTATGGCCAAGATGGTGCCTTTTACCATTTTGACTGATAAGGATTCAACAATTTATATTAATATTTGAGAAGATAACATAAAAAATTAATAGTTATGATTGGTGGGGAGTAATATTATTACATGATACTCTCTTAACACTTAATATATATATATATATATATATTTAAAATTACACTTAATTGCAAAATTCTTGTAAGTTAGACACAAATAATATAACTATAAACTAAACATCATATCATATAATATAAGTTCTTCCAAACTATTTAAAGGATTATCTAAAATTCTTCTACTTTTTTTTTTTTTTATATTTTAGTCAATTTTTTTTGTTTATTTTTAGATACATCACGATTAGATACATTTAAAAAATAAAAAAATTTAACTAAATATATATATATATATATAAACTTCACTAAAAACAAACGAAACCCAAACAAACACTTAATTTTGTTCGGATTTTTATTTATTTTTAGCAATTTTTTTTATACATTTTAATTAATTTATTTTACTTTTTAAACACATCTACAATGCATTTAAAATGGAAAAAAAATTTATTATCATATAAAAAAATTCATTAAAAACAAACAAAAAAAATCATCTTAAAAATAGGATTTGAAAAATTAAACAAAAAAAGCATAAATATCCATAATAGGGGTGTGCAGCGGATGAGCCGACCCGCCACATCTGCTTGACCAGACCTGACACATTTTGAGTGGATGTGTGACATATGGCGGGTAGATACAAGTCCAAAAATATCATTTTTGCGGGTGCATGTTGGGTTGCAGATAAACCGCCAAATTAACTGACTTACGCGACCTGCTTGCCCAAACTTAATTTTGCCCCCCCATTTTTCCCTTTGTCTTGCCCCTTTTTTTTCATTTCATTTCAGGTTTGTAGAGCCCTGCCCAAACTTAATTTTGCCCCCCCATTTTTCCCTTTGTCTTGCCCCTTTTTTTTCATTTCATTTCAGGTTTGTAGAGCCCTAGGTTTCGAAACAACACTGTATGTCTCTCTCTCTCTCTCTCATTTGAACGGAGGCAAGCGACGAGCGGCGATCGGCGACAGTGGTGGCTAGCAACAATCAGCGATTGGCGATAGTGGCGGCGAGCAGCGATCAAATCATCAATTCGAAGGTATTCTTCTCTTCTTCTCTGCACTTCTCTTCTCTTTTTGTCTTTGATTGGTGATCGGCGACAGTGTGTCCTCAAGACACTGTTCTATGTGTTTGTTATTTATTTATTATTTTTTTAGTAATTAGGGCTTCGGCTTCAAATTTGTTTTGTAAATGTGTAATATGCAAATATACTTAATTGAATTTATAACTCCCAGTTGGTTTCTGCAATGTTTGTGCTTTTGTATTTGATTATTTCCTGTGACAATTTTGCTATGAATTTTTTTTTTCTTCTTTAATGTTGGTGAATTGCAGTTCATCTGCCTTTTGCGTAAATTTTGTTTCTAAAATTTTTAATATGCAAATACAATTCATTGAACTTATCACTCCCAATTGGTTTATGCGATGTTTGGGCTTTTTTTTGGTTTATGTTTCTAGATGATTCCTTGCCTTCCATTGTTTTTTTTTGCACCATATCCCTTTTGTTTTCGAAATGTTTTTAAATCGTTTCAATTTTTGAACGATGAAAGCAAAAGTCTTGCTATCTAGATGAAGACGCATTTTGAGTTGATGATGACCCTCTCTTCTTTTGCACACCGGGGAATGTATGGTTAGTACAAATTAGGCTTGTCAATGGATTAGATTGTGTTGCAAATCCAAATCCGATTTGTTTGGTAAGATGTTCCGGATGGTAAGATGAATCCTATCTAGAAACTTTATTTATTTTTTTAATTTTTAGTTTAGGGTAAGATGAATCCATGTTATCATCTTCATGCATGAAGACAAAATACTGACCTAAATGGTGGACCTTGACATGAAATTCATTACTTGGATGATCCATTACAATCAAGTTTTCCACTTTTCTCAGTTTTTTTTTTTTTTTTGGGCACAAAATTATGATATTTATCCAGAAGAATTAATTGGTTGTGTAATTTTTTCTATTGATTAGTGGCTTCTAGTTGGTAATGCATTTTTCCCCATTGTTCCTTTTTTTTGGCTGGGTGGGTATTGGTCATGCTAATTGATTAGAAAATTACGCCATTATTTTTAGACAGATGTTGCTTTTTGTTTCCTTATGTTATTGTTTTTTTTATTATTTCCTACTATCATCATATTTGTTTTATTTTTAACTTCATTTCATTTGCAGATGAGCAGTGTTACAGGGAAGGCACCTGCACCAGGTCAGGCCGTATACTCTGCTTCTAAATTTGCTCTAAATGGGATACTTTCACACCCTGCGCTCTGAGGTATGATTATAATTTCTGTCGTAATTACTATGGTGCAATATGCAAGTTGCACATTGTACATTTTGCAAATTTTTACAGATTGTTTGCATACACTGTAATACTCGAAAAAAATTTAGAAGTGTACATGTTAAATTATGTTAAAAATTTATAAAATTTTAAATCGTCAAACTGATTTGCATTTATCCGTCAATTTGTTCAATATGCATCTATCGAATTGGTGGACGGATGCGGATTAATTTTATCCAATCTATCAATTCGACGAATAGATGACAGATTGGCAGTTCTGTGACCGCAATCAATCCGTGCCCACCCCTACATCATATCAATATAAGCTATTCGAGAAGTATCTGAATAGTTATCACAAGTCATATCAAAAAAATATGTCATAAATCATAATTATTTTTTAAAAAATTAGTAAAATATAGCTTTGAAAATCTTCGGCCTTGTTTGGGTTGTTTTTTCGAAAAAATTTTGGGAAAAATTCTTTACAAACAAATTTTCAAGAGTAATTAAATCAAACAAATTTTTTCAAAAAAAATCTCAAAATATTGCTTGGTTACCTATTTTCTAAAATCTCTCTCTCTCTCATACACATCAAATCAACCACTTTTTTTAAAACTCCCTCCTTAAAACAATTTTCCAAAACCATTTCTGAAAAAAGACAAATCAAATAAGTTTTTGTACTTTTTATCTCAAAAATTACTCTATAAACACAAACCAAACACACCCTTCATCTTTCATCACTTTGTCATACAGCATAGTGTCAGAAAATAGGACAAGGCACTGCCTTCTTCCTCTTTTTGGATTTTTCGGTAGTGGTGAACTAGGTTTTTAGGGTTAGGTCCAGCTTGTCTCATGTTTGAGATCAAGATTGGACCGTTTAGTCCGGCCTATGGATTTTTTTTGGGTCTAGTTTTGATAAGCTGAACTGTAAAATGTGTACAACTCATCGAGTACTATATTTTTGTAAAAAATTACGTTGATAGGATATCTATAGCTATTTGATTGTATCAGATTTGTAAAAAAATAAATAAATGGTGAAAAAATAAACAATTGACAAAAATTTAATCCAATCAAATAACTATTGATATTCGGTCAACATGATTTTTTACAAAGATATAGTATTCGACGAGTTCTACACATTAGACGGTGTGAATTATCGAAATGAGGTAAAAAAATAGACTCATAAGCCGGACTAGACAGTTCAGTCTTGATCTCAAATATGAGACAAGCTAGACTTTTTAGGGTTTGACTTTTATTTTATTTGTTTATTAATTTGTGGGGTTAAAATATATTTTGAGAAGATTTCTGTTCCTAACTTTCATATGTTTCCCACGACCACTTTCCTTTTTTTCTTGTTTGGAGGTCAATAGATGTCTAGGACTTGTTTGGTTTATATCTCAAAATATAATTTTTGAAAAATTTTTTAAAATTTTGTTTGGTTTAAATTTTGAAAAATACTTTGGTGCTCTAGGAGAGCTCTAATGATGTGATGGCCATGTCTGTTGTTGTTGTTGTTTTTTTTTTTTAACTCATTAGAGCTGGTTTAGTGTTCCCTTTTTAGAAGAATGTATCATGACTGTTAAATTTTTTGAAAAAAATTTGTAAAATCACTTTATTTTCTCTACACATCAATCAATTATTTTTTCTCTTTCCTCTCTCTTTCTTAACCACTTTTTTCCTCACACACATTTACTCAACTACAACAAAATATTAAATCATTCTAAATTTTTAAATTTTAAAATTATTTTCAAAATATATAACTAAACAAATGAAAAAAATTTCTAAACTCATTTTTTAATTTTTTTTTGAAAAATTATCACAAAATACATATCAAGCACAGGCCTAGTGTTTGGAGATTAACATACGTCTAGTTTAAGATTATGTGAGTTGTGAATGTGATGGGACCTACTGACATTATGGTAAAATAGACCCTACTGAGCCTCCGTTTGGGAAGTGGGTTGGCTTTTTGGCTTTTTGACTTTTTGGCTATTTTAGCCTGGGCTAAAAAGTTTGGTTTGGGAAGGGCTTTTTGGCTTTTTTGATTTTTTTTGTGAGAGAAGAGTGTAATGATTATGGGTTGGATGTGATGTTTTGTTTGTTGTGGCTAAAATAGCCTGTTTTGTCTTTTGTGGCTATTTTAGCCCCAACCCAACTTGCCAAACACCACCTGACATTATTATGGTGGTGTTTGGGAAGTTTGTATGTTGGGTTTTTTTTGATTTTTTTTTTTTATTGAAAGACAAAATTTTTTGTAAAATAAAAATAAAAATAAAAAAAATTTACACAAAATATCACATCTAACTCTATAATCATTTCATTTTTTCTTTCACAAACATCACATTCAACCATAAAAAAATCTAATTATCTTCTCAAACACCAAAATTTTTTCCTCTAATAATATCCTACAATTAAAAAAATTTACATTAAAATCCACTTCCCAAACACCCATTATGTTTGGAGGTTAATATACGTTTAGTTTAAGGGCATCCACAATAGGATAGCCAAAATTATTTGTTAAAGTGTGTTATATGACAAAAAGTGATAAAAGTAGGGCCCAAAAATATTTGTTAAGATGTGTTAAGAGTTTGTTAATTTTAGAGAATGAGTGGTGGTGCAATAAATGTGTTAAGGGGTGTGTTAAGGTGTGTGTTAAATATATATATATATATATATGTGTATATAATAAATAAAATAAATAAATAATTTAGTTTAATAAAAAATTTCAAACCCAAAATTAAATTTTAAGTCCAAAAAAAAATCCCAACAAGTTAAAAAAAAAAAAAAAAATTCCGTTGACCGGGTCAACTAGCCGGACGTCCGGCCGGTCAACCCGGAAGACAAACACAACACTTCCAAGCGCTAAGCTAAAGCGCTAGCCGCAATTAATCAACTTTTTAACACACACGACTAACACATATGACTAACACACACTAACTGATCCACTACAACACTTAATAATACATTTTGTTAGTTAAAATTTACTAACGGACAAACTCTCCTTAAGAATTCCACTGTGGATGCCCTGAGAGTTAGGTGAGTTATCAATGTGATGGGATCTTACTGACATTATGTAAAATGGACCCTACTTACGTTATTATGTTTGGAGGTTAATACACGTCTAGTTTAAGAGTTAGGTGAGTTTTCAATGTGATAGGGCCTACTGACATTATGATAAAATGGAGCATTCTAAGGCGGTGTTTGGGAATTCGGTTTTGGAGTTTTTTTTTTTTGTTTTTCTTTCGCTACAAAATAAATTGGTTATAAAATCAAAAAAAAAAAAAAATTCAAATAAAATATTACATCAAATTCTATAATTATTTTATTTTTTCTTTCACAAACATACATCACATCTAATCATAAGAAAACCTAACTATCTTCCAAAGCACAAATTTTTTTTTGGGGGATTTGGTGGTAGCCCCTTCACTATCTAATTTGTCTTTCAAAAGGACAAGAATTATATAAGTACTTTCAAAACCCCCTAATATTTTAAAACTTATTTTTTTTACTATATTACCCTCATATCTATCAGCTCTCCTATTAAGCCATCTTCACTGTGTATTTCAGAGTAAAATTTTACTCTGTATAAAAGTAAAATTTTACTCTGAATAAGAGTAAAATTTTACACTCTAAAACTAAAAGTAAAATTTTACTCTATATAAAAGTAAAATTTTACTCTGAAAAACAAGTAAACTGTGAGACTCTGAAGCTAAAAGTAAAATTTTACTCTGTATAAAAGTAAAATTTTACTCTGGTTCTGTCAAATGAAAAAAAACAGAGTAATAAAATCAGAGTAAAATTTTACTTTTAGCTTCAGAGTAAAATGTTACACTCTAAAACTAAAGTAAAATTTTACTTTGAACAAGAGTAAAATTTTACACTCTGAAACTAAAAGTAAAATTTTACTCTGAAAAACAAGTAAACTGTGAGATTCTGAAACTAAAAGTAAAATTTTACTCTAGTTCTGTCAAATGAAAAAAACAGAGCAATAGAACCAGAGTAAAATTTTACTCTGGTTCTATCAAATGAAATTAGATCATTCACAACCACTGTTCTTCTGTTTCTTCACAGTTACTTGCCTTTTTCGTATCACCTCTTTGGCTTCTCTGTTATCTATTACATATACACAGTCCATATTGCTCACTCACGACACAAAAATTTATCAAAATCAAAAATAATTTTACAACAAAAAGTTGAGAGAACATAGTAACAACTCATCAATAGATCAATTTAAGAACTTAACAACACTATCCAAATGAAAAATCTCTCTCTCTCTTTCTCTCTCTCACACACATAAACACGTAAACACACACACATATATATATATATATATATATGAAAAATCTGAAGAACTGTATTCAAATATGAAAATTTTGAACAGTCGCGCGATTCGTCTCTGTACTCTTTCACAATTCGAATTCATTGTCGAAAACTTGATCTAACATGTCTCTCTTCTACTAAAAAATCATTCAAAACTCCAATCTTAAAGACTCAAAACATATATATATATATATATATGTATCAGTGCGATTTGCAGGAACTGTGTTTGATCAACGGTTGCTGATGAGGGATTCGCCAATTCTACAACGGTTCACGTAGGTCGATCTCGGGAGATTAGAGATCAGAATCGTTCATGGTGCACAGATTTGAGTTGAAACCCTATGTCGAAAGAGGGAAGAGAAGCTTGCGGAGGCTCTGGAGGATGATGAAGTCATGGAGAGGTAACGGTCGAGGACGAAGTTGACGGAGGGGTTGCCGAAGGCGAAGGTGTTGCCGGCGTTGGAGAAGGTGATGATGGCGGCTTCGGTGCCGCACAAGTTGCAGAGCTTGCCGGTCTTCTTAAAGAGGCCAACTGTGGAAAGGAAGAGAGTGGGGAAGAGAGTGGGCATAATAGTCATATAAAATATTTAAATAATAAATTTGTCCTTTATGCAACACTTTATAATTATGAGGGGGTTTAGAAAGTATAATTTTTTTCTTAGTCCTTTTAACAATGAAAGGAAGGTAAAGGGTGTTTATAGCCAAATTTTCCTATTTTATATTCCAAGATGGGATAATTACACTTTGGGGGTGTTTGGGAAGAAAACAAATAGCCAAATTTAGGCTAAAAATCACAAAAAGACAAAATAGGCTAAAATAGCTAATAAGACAAAATATCACATCAAACCCATAATCATTTCACTTTTTCTCTCACAAACATCACATCCAACCACAAAAAAATCAAATCATCTTTCCAAACACAAAAATTTTAGCCTACTTAAAATAGCCAAAAATTAAAATAGCCTTCTAAAATAATCACTTCCCAAACGAGGCCTTTATCCTATAGTTTGACCAAAATTTTATTTTGGCCTAGTGCGAATTTCACTAACGATTCTTATAGTTTGGGGCTCGTGTTACTTTGGTCTCTTACTTTTCAATTGTAACATATTTGACTCTGAATTTGAGTCTTATTCCAAATAAGGACAATTGAAGATACCATTTCTCAACTTAAAGGGCAAAGTCATCAATTTATTGAATATAAACTAATTTGACAAAAAATAAATGTTAAAAAAATATTTTTGAATTTTTAAAAATAATTTCTACCTATTGAAGATAAAATTATGTAAAATTGATAAATTTTTTAGATATTTATTTATTTATTTTTGCCAAATTAATTTTTATTATGTGTTTGAATGATGATCATGTAATGGGTGATTGTTTTTATTTTCATTAAATTAGTTTATATTTTTTCAAAAGTCAAATATGGCGACAACTTAGATATCATTATTAAACCAATCCATCAAATCAAAAAATTCAAAACTAAAAAAATATTTCATATATTAAATATATCGATTACACATTAAAAGTCTAACAGCCACCCATAACATAATCATTATCTAAATACATAATAGAAATTAATTTGGTAAAATAAATAAATAAATAAAAGATTCATCAATTTTACATAATTTTATTTTTGGTGGGTAGAAATTATTTTTAAAATTTTAAAAATATTTTTTTTCAAGTTTATTCTTGTCAAATTAGTTTATATTTTATCAAATTGACAACTTTGTCCTTGAAATTGAGTAATGTTATCTTTAATTGTCCTTCTTTAGAATAAGATTTAAAATTCAGGATCACATGTATCATAATTGAAAAGTCAATGATCAAAATAACATGAGCCCAAACTAGAGAGACTGTTAGTGTAATTCGCCGTTTAGCCTATATTGTTTCAATTTGATCTTCAGTGCAATTTTACTTTGGCTTTTAACGTAATTTTAATTTGACCATTTTATAAAAATTAATGCATAATAATATGATAAAATTTGATTTTATCACATTAAGACAAGCGTAAAATCCATGTCATACACGGGCAAGTAACAAAAAGTAATAAATAATATTAAATATGTTAAAAATTAACTAAATACTATGATATTAAGTTAGATGGGTATTGAAATAATAGATTTGATTAATTTCATTATGTTTATATAGATATGCAGGGCTAATTCAATTTTTTTGAAATACACTCAATCGGATAAACTCAATTGAAAAGGAAGAGTAAGAGTGAAATTCTATAAATATAATGTTAGGTTTTTTGTAATTGGTAATCTTGTTGGACAAAAGTACTTTTCAATTGTAATTGCTTACATTTTTTTGTATCTATTATGAGAGTTCATGTGATAACCCTGTCTTGTGTTAAATTAATTAATCGTGATTATGTGATTAATTTGAATTTGGGTGTTAATTTCATGATTAAATGTGATTTTGACCTTATATCTGTTCACCGTAGGAAAATCTATTCAACTTACTGTTGTAAACTGAAAATTGAAGGCCTTATCGGCCACAGAAATCGAAATTAACTACGCCATTGTGATTAGCGTAATTTTTAGAGCCTATGCTGAAATTTAATTAGAAATTGATTCGGATCAAAATAATTAGATTTAGAATGATTAAATTAGAGCATTATTATTTAGTCTTAATCAATTTGATTAGCTAAGCCTATAAATAGGCCTATATACACTCAATTCTTTCTCTTGAACTCATGTTGGCTGAAATCACATTCTAGAGAGAGAGAGAGAGAGGGCCGGTTTAGAGAGAGAGAGAGAAGCCATCCTTGTGGATTTTTTCAAGGGAATTCAAGATTTGAAAGGCTAGGCCCAATAACTAGCTAGAATTAGAAGATTTGAGCCTCTAGGTGAGTTATTAGACATGAATTTATGAGTTTGAGTTGTAATTATGTGAACTCAAAGATAAAGTGCGATCAAGAACATGAATTGAGTTGAATTTGATGATTTTGAAGTCATTATAAACATGTATGTAAAAGATTGCCATGAATTTGTGTAATTGAGCATAAAACATATGATCCATGTTGAATTTTGATTAAGATTCATGCTTTTGATGATCTTTTGCATCATTTAAGTTGAGGATGGAAATTATATTCCACATGCAAGCACAATTCATGAAGGTACAAGCTTTAGTTGCATGAATTCGGAGTATTGAAGATGAGTTTGGTATGAATTGTATATGCATGTAATTGATTCATGGGAGTTGAGCTTCATAATGTTGTACATTTAGTATTTGTATCATGTTAGAAGATGTACAAGTGAATTATGGGTCATAATATGCAAGTTACACTAACTTGAATGCAAATTTGAAGTTCAAACAGCTTGCTGGAAATTCTAGAATTCGTCGAGTTCGCTCGAGCGGCAAATTCCTCGCTTGAGCATAAAATGTTAGCTCCCAGAAGTTTTGCAGACATTGATGTACGCTCGAGCGTGAGGAGTTACGCTCGAGTGCCCAATCACATGTTTTGACTCTTAGCTCGAGCGTCCAAATTCACGCTTGAGCGCAAAAATGGGGCAACCAGTACTTTTGTAGACCAAATGGGTCCGCTCGAGCGGCCAAAGCTGTGCTCGAGCGGAGAGCCCTGTTTCTGAAATTTTGAAAAGTAGTTTTGTGATTTGTTTTCCGTTCTTTTTCATTTCTAAGCACTCTTAGGCATGTATTGAACATTATAAATGAGTTAAAAGGATAAGAAAGAAACCTAAGAGGAATGTATAAATTAAGAACGGATTGAATCACTCGTGACCCATTATGTTTATGAAATGTGTAGGGTCAAGCACAGGGGCAAATCATTCGGCATATCACTGTGAGTAATGTCTTAGTAAAGATATGTTCAAATATGTTATTTTACAAATGTTACTTCTATATGAGCCTTATGGATTTGTAAGATTGAATTATGGATGAATATTCCCAATGACAGTCTTTTGCATGAGACTACTTGAATATAAATACAAATATGATTGTGATCAAGTGTACGAGACACACATGGATACGAATATGGAAATGAATTAGGCCTAAGGCCGTTTGATTATTATGATGGGCCAAAGGGCGCTTGATATGAATGATTGGGCCAAAGGCCGTTTGAATATTATGATTAGGCCAAAGACTGTTTGATATAAATGATGGGCTAAAGGCCGATTGACATAAAAGATTGGGCCAAAGGCCGTTTGACATGAATGATTGGGCCAAAGGCCATCTGACACGAACAAATTAGGCCCGAGGCCGTTCGATGCATTAGATAGAAACGTAATTGGGCTTATGGCCGTTTGATATGTTTGTTACAAGTTTCATTCATGTAACTCATTTATTTTGATATTATTCACTGGGCTATTGCTCACTCTCATTTACATGTGTGTAGGTGAGCAAAGGGATGTCCAAACCCAACCTCAACGAAAGACATGAGAGGAAGCTAAGTCGTGGAGTCAGCCCGAATGTCTCACGCATGAGACCTTGTTTTCTTTTGTTCTTTTGTTCACTATTTTGTTACCCTAGTGAATATGTGGATCATTATGTATATAAGTTTTTTGCTTGGATGACTACATGCTTGAAAGTTCCTGGACATATGAGATGTTATTTCTGTTTACAAGTGTGAGTTATTATGGGTTATTAATGGAGTGTTTTGCTTCATATAAGCATAACTCATTGGACAAAATTTTTAAGTCTGCTTCCGTTTTGGCTCCTTATTCTATTGAAAATATGTTTGATCAGGTTTGAGGCTGTAGGTAATCCCTTGATTACTGGCCGGTTATGACCTTAATCCATAGAGGCGGGTATGGGTCATGACAGTTCAGATGCAAATCCAATTCGTCTTGTGTCTAAATAGAGGAGTTTATGTTGACGCTCTGTATCTTGACTTGAGCAATCATTGTTTGCTTCTTCGTAGACTATGCACGGGTCGTAAGGGTCCAGGGAGCAGCGCTCCTAGCGGGTCAAGCGTAGTGCCCAGGCAGGATTAAGGGCAGCAGCCCTGAAACTAGGATGTCAAAGTTGATGAACCGCTTGAGCGGTAAAGTAGCTCATTCAGTATCTCAGCTTATGTTTTGAACTGGAATACATGTTTTACCGACTGAACAGTAGATGTTGCACTCGAACTATTGGTCTATATGTGAGCACCGTCTATAGTCTCATCGCTCGAGCGGTAAAGTGAGCGTTCGAGCAATATTCGTGGCCTTGTTTAGTATAATATGCGTCGTTTGTTTATTTTACGGTTTAACTCGTTCAGATTCTCAGAGAGAAATAAAAAACAAAGTGTTCTATTATAACAATCCCGACTTGTGATTAACTGTTAAATCATGATTAAGAATGCTTAATAAATAATTAAGGGAGAATCCTACATTAATTACATGTGCATGGTGTTATGTGTGCTTATATTTGTTTGTCGTAGAATTATCTGTCTGTATTCCTGTTTCATTTACGAATTGAAGGCCTTATCGACATCCGATCACGAAATCGATTTGGTATATGTGTTATTTAGAATTTTTAGAAATTTATGGTAAGTTTAATTAGAATTCGATTTGGAACCAAATAATTAGAGTAAAATAATGACCATTTGATTAGTGGTAAGCCTAGTTTAATTAAGCCCACTAACCAAGCCTATATAAGGCTTATACACACATTAGACCCTCTTGGTTCATCATCTTTTTGAGGAGAAAAACGTGGGAGAGAGAGGGAGAGAGAGAGGGAGAAGGAAGAAATTGAGATCAAAGCTAGAGAAGGGAGATTAGCTAAGGATTGTGGAGGAACTAGCTTGGAGACTTTGAGAATTGGTCATTTAGAGTCCAATTGAACACTTAAGGTAAGAATCCAACCTTTAGGTTTGTACTTGAGTTGGTTAATGCATGAATTTAAGAGAATTGAGCTAAAAGATGCAAGAAATAAGCTAAAGTAGAATTGAGACCATATCTGGCATGCATGTACATATCATGGTATTTTGAAGTTGTTTACCCAAAATTTTTGTCATGCATGCCCTTACCTTGGCTATGTTTTAAGAATTCAACACGTTTTTTTACCAAACATCTCAATTGATCATGTTTTGAAAAATTGAAGCTTATATCATTATATGTAAGTCATGTTCTTTAAGTTTCAAGTTGAATTCTGGACAATTGACTATTGAGGGCTTACAAAGCCCATAACTCTAAACTCACCACAAAACTGCTTAGCATGCCACTAATCACAGTGCACACATTAATTTTTATTGTGCCAAACAAGGCAACAAAACCACGGTGACGTTGAGTCATGTTTCATTACTTTGGCTCAATTAAGGTCTAACCTAAAGTCTCAAAGACTTTCTGCTCATCTAAAGAATATGATTATATTGTTCACATTTGAACATCTCAACTAAGTCTAGGTTAACCAAATTAACTTCCATAAGCTAAGTCAATTTAGAGGGAAAAAAACATACACATTGAGATTAATTTGATTAGCACATCATAATATAATTTTGCCGAAAAATATAAATTAAATAGTGAAAAAATTACACAAATCGCAAGATCGAATATTCGCTATGCTCATAATCATCTCTTGAGCCACAAGTGACAATTATTCAAAATTTAATTTAATTCATGTGCAAAATATTTTTTCGGGAGTAAATCTACAAAGATTTCTCTCAACCGAAGAACCTCCCACTAGCTATGGCATGCCTAAAGTATGATAAAATATTAATTCCATACAATAGCATCTCAATGTGAATTCATAAAAGAAAATATGTTATAATATTTAATCATGGAATTACAGCTCACCAATATAAATAATTTATGCTATTTAAAATTACAATATACTACAAGTTCTAATCATGTAAAAGAACTTAATATGTTATATATAATATTTAAATAATGCCATAACATATTTCTATAATTTTTGCAATTTTTTGAATTTTTCTAGAATTACAAGTAATTAAGAATTACACAGAAAATCAGAAATAGATATTACAGAATCTGAAAAAAATACAAAAATCATATCAGTAACTAAGATTACATGGTAGCAGTCTACTGTAAAAATTTCAAATTCAGAATCCAAGTCATGCTCCCCCAAGGGCAATTTAACGTAAAAATATCGAATTATTCATTAATGAAACATATTTTATTTTTCATAAAATTCTGAAACTTTAACAAATTGTAGAAACATTAATTACGAGTCCAACGGTATAAGTCATGCTTCAATTAGAATTATATCGAATAATATAGAAGCAATTAACGTAATTTTTAATTTTAAAACAAATAAACAGAGCTTTAGCCTGCGTTTGGTTGTATTTTGTAAATGTGATTTGAGAGTATGAGTTATATTTTGAGTTTGTGTGTTGTAGAATTATGATTTGAGTGTAAAAAATTTGTTTGGTAAAGAATTTTGAAAATAGTTTTGGAAAAGAGGTTTGATTTGAGTGGAGAATTGTTGATGTGACATTTGATATGTGATACAAAAATTTACAACTCATAACTAAACATACAACTCAAAATTATTTTAAAGCATATAAAAAATTTAAAAATTTTCAGAAAATATTTTTTCCGATTATATAAATCAATTGCAAAAAAAAAAAAAATACTGTTTTGAACAGCCGACCGATCAACTGGCCGAATGACCGGCCGGACGTCCCGTTCCCTCAAACGCCCCCCTCTGCAACAAACAGAATGCTTTGACATATAGACAGAGCTTCCGGCAGAGTTTTAGAAAATTAATTCCAAAACTCTTATCAAACATCATGCTCAAACTCAAGTGTTGAAAACTATTTTCAGAGCACAAACAAACAGAGTATTAATCTTTTCGGCTCCTACGTCATTGCTTACCTAAGATGATGTTAGTGCACGCGTCAGTGCATCATCAGCTTCAAGTCAAACCGCGTAGATGTCATTGCTTACCTAAGATGATGTTGGTGCACGCGTCAGTGCATCATCAGCTTCAAGCCAAACCGCGTAGATGGCGTTAATAAATTCGTCTTTTTTCTCCGTTTATCTCAACTCTCGCCTAAAACTAGAGTTTGAGTTTTTTTTTTAACCATAAGTCAGAATGAGTTTCATAATATACCATTTTGAAGGTCTCGAAACAAGAATTTTAAATATATAATTTTCACAATATAAAAACAAAGCATATAAAATCAGCATGTAATCAAAGTTACAAAAATCATATATAAATCTCAATTTTTCTTAAAAGCCGACCATTCAATTTTTGTAAAATTTTTTAAGATTTGGCCTAAATAATATAGATTACAACTTATATGAAATTCATGACGATCAACAACTGTTCAAAAAACATCAATTTTATGCACAAATCTTATCTATACATATATTTATGCACAAATAACATGAAAATACCAAACAATGGCTCTGACTCCAATGTAAAAATTATAATACTATATACACAACGGAAATAAACGGATTCGGGTATGCTTTTACGCTCAAACTGAATCTATGGATCATGTTAGTGAATCACGTGCTTCCATTGATGTGTTTAAATAATTCTGAACAATAGAGTAGAATTATTAGAAAACTACCCACACTATTCACAGTACAAAGGCGAAATGGTTTATGGGAAGAGACAACATATAATTTTTGTTGTGTCAAATATAGAACCCAAGTTCAGTATATATAGGAGAGTTAGGAAACCCATAAAATAGATGTATTATCCCAGATAATGTCTATTTCATATCAACAATATCCAATTAATAATTATCATCTAATATATTGACAATTATCCATATATAGATTATCTCATATCTTGAAATATAATATATTAAGATTATTTGGATCTCTCTAATCGGGTCATGCCACCATAAGCGACCCAATTGGGTTCGGGTTTTAAATCCGACCCAATTTCTAACAGTAATGCTGTAATTTGATTCTTGTAATTAAGTAACAAGGTTAAGTATTATTAATCAAATTCTAATTTGTTTGGGTTTGTTTATTCACATTACAACTTTCAAAGAAATTCTTGGATCTATCAAGATATAGGACACCAAGCACATTTTCTAATTTAGTATTGTTTGTAAAAATTAATTACTCTGTCAGAATCTCCGCTGTCAATTTGACCCAAGCCATATTTTTGCTAACACACTCAAAACACTTCAATTGCTTGGTATTAGGAAAAATAGCTTGGATGCGTGAAGGTTGACACAGTTCTCTTTCTTACTCCACAAATCCCTTCCTTCCCACTTTTCTTAATCTTACATGGACATCTCACTTTCCTTCTTCCTCATATTTTCCATGTTGGTGATTCCATCTTCATCAACAACAACTCGCAGCACTTTAAACTCACGCTCGTCTCTTTCTGTGGAGAAACCAAATGACATTTTGATTTCACCAAACGGTGTTTTCGCAGCCGGGTTTCACCCAGTTGGCGACAATGCTTTTGTCCTTGCCATATGGTTCGCCAAATCATCGAGTCCTACTGTTGTCTGGACAGCCAACCGAGACCAACCCGTAAACGGAAAAGCATCAAAGCTTTCACTACTCAAATATGGCAATCTCATCTTAACTGACGGTGGTCAAAACACCATCTGGTCCACCCCCACCACTACCTCGGCTGCCATGGTGCAATTAGCCCTCCTCAACACTGGTAATCTTGTTCTCAATTCATCGAAAAGTTCCATTCTTTGGCAGAGCTTTGATTCACCCACAGACACACTTCTTCCTCTCCAAATGTTCACTAGATACACAACCCTTGTCTCCTCAAGAAGCCAAACCAACCAGTCATCGGGTTTCTACAAGCTTTTTTTCGACAACAATAATCTTCTAAGCCTTCTTTACAATGGTCCAAAAGTTTCCAGCATTTACTGGCCTGACCCCTGGCGCATGCCGTGGGATTCTGGCAGAACAACATTCAATAGCAGCAAAATTGCAATACTTGACACTTCAGGTTATTTCGTATCATCTGATTTCGTGAAATTTAAATCTGCTGATCTTGGTTTGGGGATTCAAAGAAGATTGACCCTCGATTTGGATGGTAACCCTCGATTGTATAGCTTAGATGAGAAGACCGGTAATTGGACCGTAACATGGCAAGCCATGGTTGATCCTTGCAGGGTTCATGGAATATGTGGACCCAACAGTATTTGTAGTTATGGTTCTGGTTCCGGTAGGGGGTGCTCTTGTCTTCCAGGACATAAGATCAAGAATGAGAGTGATTGGTCTTATGGGTGTGAATTAGAACACAATCTTCCTGATAATGATCGTAGGGCTAGTTTTGTCGTGGTGGATCATATGGAATTGTATGGGTATGAGTATAATGTTGCTCAGAACTCCACCTTAGAGAGTTGCAAGGAAATGTGCTTGCAAACATTGATGTGCAAAGGGTTCTTGTTCAAATTTGAAAGTGGTGTCTACAACTGTTACGCCAAGTCACAACTACTCAATGGGAAACATTCCCTAAATTTAATTGGAACACTCTATGTCAAACTAAATGTTTCTAAAAAAAGTGGCTTTTTTTCCTCAAATGCAGTACCTGTTAAAGAAATGAAATTGAATTGCTCGAGTTTGGGCAAGAACACTATACAGTTGGATCGAGTTTATAAAACCAACGATGGAAACAAGTTCTTGAATTTTTTGGTTTGGTTTGCCTGCGCAATAGGAGCTGTTGAGATGCTATGTATACTTTTGATATCTTTTTTGGTATTCAGAAAGCCCAACAATTCAGGTCCAGAAACGCAAGGCTATTTCCTCGCCGCAACGACATTTAAAAACTTCACTTACGTGGAAATGAAAAGGGCAACACGAGGTTTCAGTGAAGAGATTGGGAGAGGTGGTCATGGAGTTGTTTACAAAGGCATATTACCCGATCATCGAGTTGCAGCAATTAAGCGGCTCAACGAAGCTAACGAAGGAGAAGCCGAATTTCTAGCAGAGGTAAGCACCATTGGAAGGCTAAACCACATGAACTTGATAGAGATGTGGGGATATTGCGCGGAGGGAAAGCACAGGCTTTTGGTTTACGAGTACATGGAACACGGATCATTGGACAAAAATTTGTGTTCCAACAAACTTGACTATGACAAGAGGTTCAACATCGTGGTTGGCATTGCAAAAGGCCTAGCTTATCTGCACGAAGAGTGTTTGGAATGGGTTCTGCATTGTGATGTGAAGCCTCAGAACATACTCTTGGACACAAATTACCAACCAAAGGTAGCAGATTTTGGCCTATCCAAATTACTAAATAGGGGCGGTGGCCAAAATTCGAGTTTTTCGAAGATAAGAGGAACAAGAGGTTACATGGCTCCTGAATGGGTTGTCAATCTCCCAATTACTTCCAAAGTTGATGTTTATAGCTATGGGATTGTTGTGTTGGAGATGATCACGGGAAGGAGCCCAACGGGAGTCCGCGACGCTGTTGAGGGTGAAGAAGTGGAGGGGTGTGAAAGATTGGAAACTTGGGTGAGGAAGAAGATGAATGGTTCAGAGGCATTGTGGATTGAAGAAATAATAGACCCTGTCATGATGGGGGGATGTGAGAGCAGTAAGATAGAAAATCTGGTTAGGGTGGCTGTGCAATGTGTGGAGGCAGATACAGATGCTAGACCCACCATGAGAGAGGTGGTGGAGATGCTTTTGGGCCACGATAGCCATGACACCGCCTAGTGAGGTAACACACTGGTTCAATTTGCACTCTTATGTCCTTGATTTGTTTTGTTTTCAGCCTTTTATTTTCATTTCCTACAATAATTCCCATGTTTGGATATAATTAGTATACAATTAATAAAAGTAAATTATATTTTCTCATTTGATGATTAAAAAAAAATTGATATATAGCAATCCTCAATTAAAAAATACATATATAGTTTTAACCACAATGATCAATGACCATGAGTAAAATTATTCAGTAGTTTAGAATCCCTACATCAATTTTGATTTGAAATCATTATAATTGAGTATACCCAAAAAATAAAAAGAGTAGAATATGTTTTATTTTTTCACATTTTCGAGGATGTGAATTCCAATAAAATGGGATTTTTGATCTTGCTCTTTTTAAAGAATTTATTTTTATTTTTTAATAACACCTCCTATATGTGATCGGGATAAAAATTGATGTGAGGGACCTGAATACTGTAATAATTTTCTCAATGACTAGTTAATAAAGGTCACTTATAGAATAGACCGATCATATTCAGTAACTGATTATAATTAGCCCATATTATTTTTTAATGGGATGCTTTGTAACTCTTTTCAATTAATGAATGAAAAATTTTAAATGCATAAAATCATACACAATTATCTCATCTAAGATGAGTAGTCCCATTAAATGTGTGAAATCTATTTTATATGAGAGACGAATTCAATAATAAGATTAGGGCATCCGTATCAAATTAGATAAAATTTAGTCTCATTATATGTTCTTGAATGTCTTCTGTAGTAAACTCTATTTTTTTTTTCTATTTTATTCAAAAAAAAAAAATATATATATATATATTTTTAATACTATCTTCAATTATCATAATTTTTAAATAATCACTTTTTGGGACAGTCATCTTTTATAATAGTAATATTTTCACAATCATGTTTTTTAAATAGTCACTTTTTCTATATTTTGAGATTGCATTTTTCTGACACTTTCCGTTATATCCAAAAAAAAAAAAAAAAAAAGAAGAGATCGCATTTTCTAACTGTTTTGCTAACTTTAATTTCAAGAACTACTTTCTGAGATGTACAAAAACTAAAATAATTCAATTTTATATGAGGATAAAAATTATAAGTAATAACAAAAAGAGTAATCCTATGTTTATCATCTATTTTAATTATTTATATTTACTATTTGATGTGGCATACTTTATTATCACTAATACAATAACTCTCACATACGTACAACTGTTATCTAAGAATTTTGGGATGTATCATATTACATTCTAAAACAAATAATAATTATAGCATTTGAAAAAAATAAAAATAAAAACAAAACAGTAGAACATAGATGAACACTGTTTCAATTATTTTATTATTTTAAATTCAATGTTGAGCCTCCAAAGCCTGGCTTCATGTGGCAAGGAAGCCCAACATGTTTTCAGATATAACAAGCACTAGCGATTGATGCTGTGCTCCGCAAACTAGCAGAAAAAATGCTTTGGTGATATTGATGCTGTGCTCTTATATACAAGTAAATGAACTGTTTCTTAAAATATATTCTTATGCATTACCCTTACGATTTTTTTATTTTTATTTTTTAATATATAATTGAAATTGCAGGCTCTTTCATGCAAGGCGCTGGTAGACGATTCAAGAGGAGTTCTATATTTTTAATTTGGGATATCAGATTAGAAGGAGTATGACTCTTAGACTGGCCTCTAATAGTATAACTTTCTTATATATTTTTATATAACTTCCTATGTACCAAAAAAAAATTAGGACGAATTACACCAGTAATCTCTATATTTTATCTCGTGTCATTTTAGACTCTACATTTTTAACTCAATTTTGACATTTAATTTTAAATTTTGTGCTAATTTGGTCCAATTGATAATATTATTAGTATTTTTTTAAAAAAATTATCAATAATTAGTTGAAATTAATTGAATGAGTTTATTAAGTTTATAATTTTGTCTTTAAAAATATGACACATGGCATTTATGTGTGTATTTTCCATAAAAAAAATGTAAGAGTTGTAATCAATTGGAACAAATTGAGATAAAATCATAAATTCATGATTAAAATCAAGACAGTTGAAATTACAGAAATTAAAATGACATAATGATCAAAATACAAAAATTACTATCATAATTTGGCTAAAAAAATAAAAACAACATTGTTAGGGGTGTAAATTTGACCCAGCCCGGTCCACTTGGGCTCGGATCGGGTCGGGGCCAGGTCTGGCCTCGCGGGCTCTCGCCAAAATTTGGACCGGGACGGTCCGGCTCACGGGCTAAAAAATTAAGCCCAGCCCAAGTCCAGGGATATTTGGGCCTTGGGCGGGCCAGTGGCCGGTCCAATGGGCTTGGGCGGGCCTAACCATTTTTAAATATTTTTTTAATTTTTTCTATCAAATTTTTTTTATTAAAAAATACACTGGGTCTTGGGCGGGCTGGGCGGGCTGGGCTTTAAGCTGGGCTCTAAGTGGGCCTTAAGCGGGTTGATGGGCCAGGTTGGGTTTCAAAACAATGGCCCTGGCCCTAGCCTAGGGGCTCGGGCTTGGGCCCAAGCGGGCCTAAACAGGCTAGGCCCATCTCAAGCCGCGGATGGACTTTGGACCGTTTACGGGCTGCGGGTTATTTTTACATCCCCAAACATGATTCATTTTTCATACATAAGTGCAAGTCCCCTTAAACTATCACACCACCACATATGGCCGTGCAAAAAAAACGATTTCAAATTTTATTTTGGCAAGCCCATTAATACAGCTTTTCAAAAATTATTCGGTCGCTGAGAATCGCACTGACCCGCACTCATCTTTTTGTTTTTTTGAATGGAAGCCAATTCAACCAAAACAAACAAAACCATTACAAACAATCCAAACAGAGAAAGGTAGCCAAATTAGGTGGAGTATCCTCCAACCAACCAACAACTGACTTGGCCATCTTAGCCAATGCATGACCCACTTTGTTACCTTCCAGCTGCTGTGTATGAGAGATACAAAACTGACGGAAAGTCAACCTTTGGTGATGAGTCTGTGAGAGACTGTCCAAAAGGAGAGAACAAAAATACCCAACATCACGAACGGCATTAACAATTGTCAGTGAGCATCCCGAATCATAACTTCTGTAGGAGAGGGTTCAAGAAAGGAGTTGGAAAATTCGAAGATCGAATTCTCTAGAATACGATGAGAGGCTTAGATTCTTCAATAATCTCAACTTAGGAACACAACAACAAAGGAGATGATGGAGATAAGAGATTGGGTGAAGAAGAAGGCAAAATGGCTAGAGAATAGAATAATGGCAAGGCTCTCCCATTGATCTCCCACTTTCGCTCTCAAGGTTGATAATGGAGAAGGGAAATTAGTTCTTTCCCAAGAGTTAAAAATCTCCAAAATCCATCCCTTGTAAAGCTATGGGTGGGTGCTATTTATAGGCACCTCATGATGTAGGATGGAGCCCATGTGCAAGGCACATGGGGGATATTCTCTCTAACCACCTTGTCCGAGGGGGTGACCTCTCCGAGGAGGTGACTTCTCCGAGGAGGTGACTTCTCCGAGGATGAGAAAACCCCGAAGAGGAGATCACTCCCTCGGCGAACCCTTCTTCTTAGCCACACCTAACCAATGATCCCCAATCATCCCAAAGGGTCAGGGGTAGTCCCAGAGGACGTCCTGCCGCAAAATATTGCCGAGTCTCATGGACCCCCCGGGGTCGTGCCACCTCGACCCGGGTATAGGCTAGTTTAACCGAAGAGTGAATTTATCTCCACTCACCGTCCTCGGGATCGGGTCCTTTGTTCGAACTCCATTACGCCCATGGTTCTGGTGCGTAGATCCCGGAAAGCTCCGAGCCCGCAAGTGTTCTGGGACTCATTAACGGAGCGACTTCTAGATTGCGTCTGAATCCGTTCGAAGCCAAGTACTTCGGATCTCTAGATTCGTGGGTCCGAATCCTTTCGAGTCCGAGTGCCTCGGATCTCTAGGCTTGCCTAATACCCTTTCGAGTCCGGGCCCGAGTAACTCTCTAGGTTCGTGGACCCGAACCCTTTCGAGGCTTACAGCGATTCAATCCGTTTGATGGCGATAAATCTGGGCCCACCGATTCTTGGACTTGCGATAAATTCGGGCCCACTAATCTTGGGCTATTGGGCCTAAATAATTTAGTGGGCTCAAATTAGCCCCTCTTACAACTTCACTAGCAAAATTCGTAGCGTTTAGAACAGCAAAAGTTTCAGCACAATCTGTCTCAGCCCAAGTTTCAATCTTTTCAGACAAGGAAGCAACCACGTCCTCGTTGAAGTCGCGAATAATAATCCCAACACCAATCGCCTTTTGATCCCCAAAGACAGCAGCATCAAAATTCACCTTAAACCACCCTTCCATTGGTGGTTTCCAGCGCACTTATCCTCGATGTCACTTAACATAGACCCATCCAAACCCAATTTGTCCACCCCAAAACCGTAATTTTTTTGGGGAAATAGCATATCAGTCGAAAGATGCAAAAAATATAAATTATCCTTTGCTTTTTTTAATATTCGGTCACTCTTCTACTTTGGTCTTTAAAATTTATTTTTTCTTATTTTTTTTTTCAAGTTTTTTCTAGTTAACTCCAAAAACAATTTTTTTTGTTAAAAATTAGACAGAAAATAACATATTGACAATGTCATGATATATAAATATTTTATTATATATAACCTACATCTTTGACACAAACTCAAATCAAAATATAATATTTTTTATGTGTGATAGTTATTGTGATATTTTCTATCTAATTTTGAACGGAAGTTAATTTTAGGAGTAATATGAAAAAACTTAAAATATGAAAGACCAAAATGAGAAAAAAAAAAAAAAAAACTTTTAAGGGTCAAAATGAGAAAGTAGCCAAACATAAAACAGATAAAGTATAATTTATCAAAAAATAAAATAAATAAATAAATACAGATTAATGGTAAAACCTATAAATTTAAATAATTAAATCAATTTTTTTTTCATGGATTTATAATTATTTTTAAAAAATTAGCTTGATTTGTAAGTTTTTCAATTCTCTCTCTCTCTCTCTCTCTCTCTCTCTCTCTCTCTCTCTCTCGTAAAACCTATAAATTTAAATTATTAAATCAATTTTGTTTTTCATGTACTTATAATTATTTTTAAAAAATTGGCTCGATTTGTAATTTTCTTAATTTTTTTTAAACCCTTTTCTGCTCTCTCTCTCTCCCTCTCTCTCTCTATTTGAGAAAGCCTATTCCTCCGTCGCCGCACCTGGACCTCATCCCTAGCTCCATAGCCACCGTAGAGCGTTGATCACGCAACTCAAGCGCCGATCTGGAGCCTTTCCTTACTAATCCACTGTAGAGAGCACAAGTGAGCCTAACGGTATGTTTGGTTGGAAGATTTGAAAAGAAATTTGGAAAAGAAAAAAGAAAAGATAAGTGAAATGTGAATGAAATATACTTACATTCCATCTTGTTTTACACACTTTTTTCTTTTTGTTTGTAAATTCTTTCCCATATCTTTCAACCAAACATAACGTAAAGATACAATTTTTTAATCTCTCTTGTTTTTTTTGTCTTTGTCAGATTCTCTCTTTCTCTTACTGATATAAGCCATTCTCTGATTTTGAGTTTTGCATTCTTGGACAATGTATGTGTGTTTTAGGATTCGTTTGGGATGTGGATTGGTTTTTTAGCTTTTTTGACTTTTTGACTATTTTAGTTTGGGGCTAAAAAGCCTCGTTTAGAATAGACTTTTTGACTTTTTTAACTTTTATGAGAGAAAAAATAAAATGATTATGATTTGGATATGACATTTTGTCTTATTAAAGTAAAAAGTCTATTTTATTTTTTGTGACTATTTTAATCAAAAAGTTCCATTTAATTTATGCCAAATGAGGACTTACTTTCTTTACAATATTGTAGTAAAATAAATGGATCTCGTTTGTTTTGACTTTGTTGATGGTCGACGAATGAAACACTGTGCTTTCATTTGTTTTGAACATTTTCTCAAACATTAGCTTCTACTTCTACTTTTACTTTATTTGAGTTGAAGGCAGCTTTTACTAACACTATTAATTATTTTAATTTTGACGTGTCAATAAAATTAGTTATCCAAAAAACTAAAGAAAAATATTCGCTTAGCAGATTTTCATACTAAGATATTCGTTGCTAGCACTACAAAAAAAAATATTTTTTGGCGACTAAAGCTTCATTTTTCGTCGCTGAAAGTAGTAGAATTGGCGACTAAAATAGAATTAGTCGCCAAAATTGAACACTTTTGCCGACTAAAAGAGTTTAGTCTCCGAATACAAGGGTTTTAGCGACTAAAAGGCAGTTTAGTCGCCGAATGTAGGGGTTTTAGTGACTAAAGGTTGTTTAGTAGCCAAAAGTGACGATTTTTGGCGACTAAAATAATTTAGTCGCCAAAAGTGATGGTTTTGGTGATTAAAAAACATTTTCGTCGCCGATTATAGGTGTTTTGCCGACTAAAAATAGATTAGTCGCTGAAAATGAAGCTTTTTGGCTACAAAAAAAAATTAGTAGCTAAAAACAGTCAATTGGTGACTAAAATTCAGTTTGGTAGCGAAAAGGGGACGTTTTTGGCGACTAAAAACAGATTTAGTCGCCAAAACTGCTTATTTTTAATTTGAACTTATTTTTTTAGCGATAAAAAATTAATTAGTAGCCCAAAATAATAGAATTGGCGACTAAATAATGGATTTAGTCGGCAAAGGTGGCCTAAATTTTTTTTTAATAAATAATTTATTTTTTACATAAATTATATTGAATAAAAATAATTATATTTATATATATAATTTTGTATTAATACCGGTCAATATACTATATAAATAATATATATTGTATATATATTC